AAGAGAAATCAAAGATAGAACTTCCATAGTGTAGTAATTAGATATTTATTTAAAAAATTAAAAGACAGCCAAATGGATACTCGCATAAAAACAAGGGTCACAGACCCAGAAGGCATGTACTGTGTAACCCACAGTCAGGTGTACATACAAGGAGTCCCAAGATGGCGGTTACCGTCCAAACGTAATGACATCACCACGCTCTATTCCTACGCGTTACGTCACGATAACACGTGACTTCTTCAGGGCTATAGAGCTGTGACCACGGACACCTTTTTATAGGAAGTCTGCACCTGAATCGGATCATTAGGTGGAGCACAGCGCCCAATTTCCCATGGATTTTCCACATATACAAGGAGCATTTAAAACTGCATGATAACAATCTCAAATTATTGCAATATTTGGACAAATTATGACCCTATGGTCATACTGCATATATAACCCTTAATTTACACACACATATATATATATATATATATATATATATATATATATACACACACACACGCATACATACATATGATTGAAAAGAACCACATTAATACATAGATTATAGCGACCATTTTCCCATAGATTATACACATACATTGAAGGAACCTCACCCAGAAGAACATAGGTGACATCCAAGTACCTAGAGACAACAGCAATCCCAAACAAACATTAATCTTACCTTAAAGGGAAAGATCCATCCAACCAGGGATCATCCGGGGATATTGATTGCTCTTTGACTCCTTGAGGGTCGAATTTTTGAGGTGAGCGCACACACTAGAAGGTGATGGATAAAACTGGCACCATAAATATGAGCACGGAAAAAAAAGTGGGAATATAAAAGATGAATTGAAAAATCTGGATTTTTATAATATATTTTTTTTGTGCTATAATTAGTTTTTTTTCACTTGTTGGGACGAATTTCTTCACTTCTTGGGACTTTTTTTATTTATTTAAATCAATTGATATATGTCACGGTTTTATACTTGGTCACTTTGATTTTATATTCGCTTTGGAATGTATTTTACCTTTAATTAAGGTAATAAGGATACACAAGGTTTATTAATATTCTTTCACTTTAATATTATTTATATTATGATTTGACAATATGGTATTTTAGTATTTACAGCGCTACACCATTCGTTCAAAATAATTTTTTCATGTCATTTCCTTCGGGTGTTAGCAGCTACTTCATCTGTTGTGAGGATACTTGGCAGCGCAGGAGTCCACCCCCATTTAATACATCACTGTGGAATTCATTGAATCTTCCTGTCAGTATATCTACTTGCCTGTACATCCTGTACAGGCAAGCAGATATACTGACAGGTGTGCAGGAGACCTGAATGGCACCAGCAATCTGCTGATCGCTGGTGCAATGCTTTTACAGGCTCCTGCAACAAAAAATAATAAATGCACATTTTTTTTTACCTGCAAAAAAAAGTGCATTTATTTAATTTTTTGTCAAAAGATGAACTTATCCTTTAATATCTGTTAATATTTGCATGTCGATTTCAGGTAAGGAAACCTGCTTATGCATCTTTTGATTGAGTTTCCCTGGTTTATGACAATTATAAAGTATGTTTAGCCAGAACAAATGTTTATTTTAGTTTTGGATAAAGCAAGGAAGAAGTAAAAAGCCTTCAAGTTTATTTTTTGCGGTTTGTTTTCCATTGGTTGAGGTGATTGTAGCCGTATTAGTGCATTTGCAACAGAAACAATTGAGTACTGTCCGTGATACTTTTTTATTTGCACTAACATACAATTTTGAGGATAAGCTTTTGGGGTATGTCCCCTTCTTCAAGGTCCAAGCAGTACTGTACAAATTACAAAGTTTCAGCAGAACGTTAGAAGGGATAAAAAAAAAAAAAAGGTTAGAGATAAGATACAGCAAAAGGGAGGGGGGGGGATACTACACTCACAAAGAGGGAGTTAAGCTTAAGCTAATAGTCATAAAACTGTTGGATAATGGTTGAGGAATCCCATGTCCAAATTCAGGCCGTTATCTCTTGTGTCAAATAGAATTATCATTCTTAGTTCAAAAGTTTTTCTTTCCTGAATGGATTTGTAATTTCCTTTAAGAACTAAAATATTGAGGTCTCCCATTGTGTGGCCTGGTTGTGTGAAATGGTGTCCTACAGGTGTGCAGAGGTCATCTTCTTTATGTTCCTTGATGGTATGTCTGTGCAAATTCATCCTTGTTTGCAATTTCTGTCCTGTTTCGCCAACATAAGATCCTTTGCTGCATTTTCTGCACTGGATAAGGTACACAACATTACTGGAGGTGCAGCTGTATAATCCAGAAATTTTGAAGATCCCTTTTGAGTGTCTGACACTTTTTGATGGATTGATTTGGTTGCACAGATTGCAGCGTTTCTTATTGCAGGGTGTGCTTCCATTATTTGTGACATCATTATCAGAAGGAAGTTTCCTACTGATTAGTTTATTTCTGAGGTTGGGGGGTTGTCTGAAAGCCAGTATTGGGGGTTGCTGCAATATTTCTTTCAGAGTTTCATCCTTTGTTATGATGGGTTGTAAATCTTTGATTATTTTTCTTATTCCTTCTAGTGCTGGGTTGTATGTGGTTACTAGAGGTACACAGTTGTTTGTTTTTTTCTCTTTGTACTGAAGTAGGTTTTCCCTTTGTGTTCTCAAGGCTGTGTTTATGCCGGTGTTGATAGTTTTGTCCTTGTAACCTTTCTTATGGAAGGAGTCTACTAGTGTCCCGAGATGTGTATCTCTGTCTTTTGGGTCAGAACATATTCGGTGGTATCTAATGGCCTGACTGTGTATGATGGCACGTTTTGTGTGTTGGGGGTGGAAGCTGGAACTGTGGAGGTAGTTGCTACTGTCAGTGGGTTTCCTGTATATTGAGGTATCAAGCGTATCATCCCTGATGTATACTGTGGTGTCTAGGAAGTTGATGTGTGTGTTTGAGTGTTCCATTTTTAGTTTGATTGATGGATGAAAAGTGTTGATCAATGAGTAAAATTGTTTTAGGTTTTCTTCACCTTATGTCCATATGATGAAAATATCATCAATATAGCGATAATATCTGTATGGTTTTTGTTCCATGCTGTTCAGGAATTGTTCCTCTAGGTCAGCCATAAATAAATTGGCATATTGGGGTGCCATTTTACTTCCCATCGCAGTGCCCATACATTGAAGATAGATGTCTTTATTGAAGGCAAAGTAGTTGTGTGTAAGTATGAATTCAATGAGCTGTGTAACATCCTCAGCAGTGTATTTGTGGTTTGGTGAGGATGATAAAGGATCTGTGACATGCAGCTAAGCTAATCCATCCTTGTGAGGGATATTACTATACAGGGATACTACATCCATAGTCACTAGAAGTGTATTAGATGGTAATTGCTGTATGTTGTTGATCTTGTTCAGAAAGTCAGTTGTGTCTTGCAGGAAACTAGCAGTATTCATGACTAACGGTTTTAAAAAATTTTCTACAAAGCCTGAGAATTGTTCGGTGAGTGTGTTCATACCTGTTATGATGGGTCTGCCTGGATTTCCTGGCTTGTGGACTTGGGGCAGCATGTAGAAGTCCCCGATTTCTGGATGATCCGGAATCGCATTTATAAGTTCTGAATGTAGGTGGGCTGGAAGTGTTTTAATGAGGCCTTTTAATTGCTTTGTAAAGTCCTGGGTCGGATCATAATCCAGTTTTTTATAGTAGATGGCATTGTCCAGCTGCCTCTGGCCTTCTTGTATGTATTTGTATCCATCACAACAACTGCACCCCCTTTATCCGCTGGTTTGATGGTGATGGCCTGATTATTGCGCAAATCGTGTATAGCCCTTCGCTCTAGTGGTGAAAGATTGTACAGAATTTTCTTTTGCTGGGTGGATATCAGGGATGTAGCTCGCAATCTGAAGCTATCAATATAGGTGTCCAGTTTGGGGTTGCGTCCTTGTGGAGGTGTGAAGCAGCTGTTCTTTTTCTTTGTGTAGAACTTTTCGTTCTTAAAGGAAATTTCAAATCCATTCAGGAAAGAAAAACTTTTGAACTAAGAATGATAATTCTATTTGACACAAGAGATAACGGCCTGAATTTGGACATGGGATTCCTCACTCATTATCCAACAGTTTTATGACTATTAGCTCAAGCTTAACTCCCTCTGTGTGAGTGTAGTATCCCCCCCCCCTCCCCCCTCGCTTTTGCTTTATCTTATCTCTAACCTTTTTTTTTTTTTTTTCATCCCTTCTAATGTTCTGCTGAAACTTTGTGATTTGTATAGTACTGCTTGGACTTTGAAGAAGGGGACATACCCCAAAAGCTTGTCCTCAAAATTGTACGTTAGTGCAAATAAAAAAAGTATCACGGACAGTACTCTATTGTTTCTTTCCATTGGTAAAATTTCCCTTTACTTCCTATCCCCGAGACACAACAGGAAATCTCCCAAAGTGAGAGTAATTCCCCTTCTTAGAAAGTTTTCCCTGGAACCAAAACGGTTATCTCTGGAAGATTTCCTGTTACCTATTGTTTTGGGGACAACTCTAAAATGTTGGATTTTGCCCCACTTTGATTCAGTACATTAGTCATCAGGACTAAAGAGTTGTGAATTTCACCTTGACAGATAATCTAACCCTTTTGCATGCCACCCAAAACGAAAAAAAAGTTTTGCCTAGAGATACACTTTAATGAGTTATCACACTCTCAGTGATCATATAGGTAAATAAACAATATGAATATTCTTATTGGTTTGTACATTTTTTTTCATTTGGAACTTTTCAGTTCTAGTAACTGCTCATATAATGGTGTTTGATAAAGTTTATGGACTTGATGGCTACAAGATTTTTACTAAGTGGTGGTGCAGTGTTGTCTTTTTGTACAAAGTGCATTCAAGCAACTTGTTTTATGTACTATAGTATTCTGAAAATAATACTATAAAATGTAAGCTGCTTTTAGATATTGAAGGACCGCATGTGTTGTGTGTGATCAATGGAAATCTTTCCTCCATCCTCTTGATTTTGTCCCCTCTAGTTCAGTCGACCATTTTTGGCAGTAGTATACACAACAACCTTTCAAATGCCCCGGCCTGGAAATCCCACGTGATAGGACATGAGAGTGGCAGCAGACAGAGGTCCTCGTCTGACCCTCCAGCTATCCACCCTCCTGTGCCACCAATGCGTGTAACATCTACTGCCACAAGTACGTGTCCTCCTGTCATCCACCCATCAGCACCATTGCAGTGCACTGTGTTACAGTCACTACTACCAGATGACCTCTTCACTGCATCCTACTGTCGTATTTTGTTGTGTCTAACGCCATTTTGTCTCTGTGATGTTCTACAGTTCTACACTTTTCCTAATTTCTGAGGTAGCTGTAAAGTTTTTTTCTTTTGTGTTTTTTTCCCTTTACACAACACCTCAGTAAGAAAGAGGTGGAACTTTAAGGGAAGAGATGGGGGTTCAATGAGCTATGAAACAGGAGCTCCACTTCACATGACTTAGCTACTGCGGTGATGCTGAATGTGGTGTTCCTGCTCTTCATTTGTGTTTGCATGACCACAACCTGGAAGACATGTATATATATCTTGTATGGCTCCTAGTATGGGGAACATAGACATGGCCTAGGCTATCAGGAACATAAAGCAGTTAGCTAAAGGTGCCTCCAGACATTAATAAGGTGGATGCCAGATTTTGGCTGAACCAGTGGTTGGTTTTATTATGTTTCAAGGAGTGCTGTACAATGTGCATGTTTATTTTGGATGAGCAATCATGCTGGTTCCTCTAGAGAGGGGAAGGGAAGGCCTACAGACATATACAATATTCCACATTCAATGCTTTTCTCCAAACCTATGTCCTACTATAAAGTCTGCATTTTCCTTTATGGTATAAAAGGCCTGATGGAAAGATACATCTGGAAGACACATCATTTAACACAGTTAAAGGCACAAACTTCATTTCCTAAGCAGGCTAAGCAGAGTCCCTTTAAAGGAGAATTATAGCCAAAGCTCTTTTAGATATACGTCTATGGATCACAGGAGTGCAATTAGTTCTGCACTCCTGTGACCCATTTTATGCCGACAGCAGGCTAAAGTCTGCTGTCGGCTGATGTCACAGAACCGATCCAGGCTGGAGAAAGAGCATGACCGTGAGGTTGGGATACACCCAAAAGCCTGGACCGACACCTGGCTCAGCCTCTCCGTGATCCACTGAGAGCCTGACCCAGCCCCTCCCTTCCCCTTCAGTGAGCACTGGAGGAGCAAAGCAGGGAACTGAAGACTGACAGCCCAGGCTCTATGATCAGAGCAGAGGGGGAGAACTGAGCGATCGCAGTCTTTGTTCACTCAGTTCTCTGTGCAGAGCCAACGGGATAGATGCAGCATCGGATCAATGCTTCATCCACCTAGGTTAGTATATGTATGTATGTGTGTGTGTGTGTGTGTGTGTGTGTGTGTGTGTGTGTATATATATATATATATATATAAAATATATATACCCTTGCACACACAGCTGACTCTCTAGCACCAGAGGGGTGGCAGCTGTCCACAGTCTCTATGATCGCTCATGCCAGTCTACTCACAAATGACTTCAGACAAATGGATACCTCCTTCCAATGTCTTCCAAACACCTCTGCCACTGACCTCAGACTAGATCATCAGATGACTGCCCCTCAGTCAGCTTCCAGGCAAGCACATGGCAGGACTGTCCAGAGAGCAGCAGGTCCTCCAGGCTGGAATTCTCCTCTCCAGGACAAGGTCTCAGACTATTTACAAGGATTTCTCCGCAGTCATCTGTGCAAGGCCCACAAAGATGGCTGGGATAGTATAGATATTTATGCTGCCCATTTACATTACTCCACACTTATGTTCCAGAACTGTCTACAGGGTTCTGAAAATTCTGAGGGAGAGCAACCAAATCTGCAGCCTGTGGGACACAGTGTAAACCGTAAACAATCATATGCAGCTGCACCGATTACAGTGAAACAAGTTTAAAGTGTTACTAAACCCAGGACCCTGCATTCACTATATCTGGTCTCCCACAGTACACACAACATGGAAGTGCAATTATTTTAGTAAATATAAACTGCTAAATACCTTTTTTCAGCAGCAGTAGAGAGCCATCTTGTGACCTCTAACACTGTCCAGCAGAGTACTGGTTAAAGCTTGTAGGAGGAGTTTTCTTTCTGCTCTAGGAGGACCTCTTTTTGGACCGTGCTGATTGGCCCTGTGCTAATCACATGCACTCTCCCAAGAAAAGAAAAAAACCCTTTCTGGCAATACACACCAAACTGAGCATGTGCAAAGTGGCTCCACACAATATTCCTTAAAAGATAAGAGGGGGATATTGGAAGAAGGGGAGTATCAGACAAGACAGGATTAAGCAGCCTTTTTACACAATGTGGAGGATTAACTCCTTAGGTTCCACAGTGAGTATAACAAGCATGCTTTACTGCACATGCAGACTGATTTTACTGTTGTGGGTTTAGTAACACTTTAAGTTACCTGACAACAAAATCACAGCTCCACTGGATACAGTGAGTCAGAACTAAATCTGTCTACTCCTAGCATCTATCTAGGAGGGTGCCAAATGATGAGCATTCTTCCCACTGACCATCACATTAACGTATCATGAGTTGTAGATATAGTCATTCTTAGCAGGGGTTCCCAGAAATGTATTTCAAGGGTTCCTCTGTGTTGAAAAGGTTGAGAGAGGCTGCTGTAGACTGATAACATATATCAGATCTGCAGCTTGAAACTACATGACCCACAATGTCCGTGCAGATAACATATAGAAGGTCATCCAGGGATACAGCATACTATGTTGGAATACGTAGTTCAACAACAGCTTAAGTTCTACTGGATGACTTTCAGTTCAGCAATGATTATCCTTCTAGTGGTTAGGAACTCCCTTGGATGTTCTTCCCCACCCCTGGATTTAGAATATTTCTGACTAAAGGCTTGAGGTGATTGTAGCCGTATTAGTGCACTTGCGACAGAAACAACTGAGTACTGTCCGTGATACTTTTTTTATTTGCACTAACATACAATTTTGAGGACAAGCTTTCGGGGTATGTCCCCTTCTTCATTATGTCCCCTTCTGAAGAAGGGGACATACCCCGAAAGCTTGTCCTCAAAATTGTATGTTAGTGCAAATAAAAAAAGTATCACGGACAGTACTCAATTGCTTCTAACTAAAGGTTGAATGTGTAGAACCTTGGTGTAATGTTGTGTACTGTTAAAAACACATTTGCCCTTTTAACATATGTGGTGCCTTCCTCCTGCTATTGTACTGTGCACACGTACAATAGTGTTTTGGTTACAGAATGTCCACAGTGCATGCATGCGCATGCGTGTCTGAGTGTGTGTGAGTATATAACACTGGTCCTGTCTATTTATCAGATTTTATTGATATGCTTTTATTTCAGATCCCCCTCCACCTCCTGTTGCTAAAACAGCCAGCGTTATTGAAGCACTGAGCCAGCACTCCAAACAGAGCCAGCCCCCTCCTGTTCCACAGAACAAGCCAATTCCCCCTCCAGTCCCACCTCAGCCCCCCAATAGACTGGCACAGAAAAGGCCGGTCCCAGGGTAAGTCTATAGAGAGGAAGATGAGCATGTGCCATTGATAACAAGAGATGTGCACACCCTGTATAAGGTCTCACTTATGGACAATGTTTCTGAGAAAAAGAAAAACGTTCTCATCGGTAATGGGCAACTAGTAACACGATATCTTCTTTCTTCAGATGTTTCCTTTTTTACAATCCCTATTGTGTATATGTTCACTCAGGACTGGGAAAAGGCAGTAGATATATCCATCTTCAGCACAGCCTTGACTGTGGAGATAGGATTACAATAAATACATTTCATAGAGCCTCTTCCACCTGTAACCCCCACTTACACTGATGGCATACCAACATGGGTACTTCATCCTAGCATCAGGCATCTGGATGTTGATCACATTTTACTATATATGCACTTATTGCCAAATCTGACAGATCCATCAGTTTGACTTGTCAGCCAAACCATCGCTTCATGTGGAAGCTTATTTATAAATAGTATGTCAATAGAAATAGTTATAACACATGTACACTTTTTATTGTATTCTTTATCCAACGTTTGGCATTATTAAAAGATAAATTCACTGAAAAAAAAAAAAGCAATAAATGCACATTTTCCTGAAGGTAAAAATAGTGCATTTACTAATATTTCTTTAGGAGCCTGGAAAGCATTGCACCCATGATCAGCAGATCGCAGGTGCCATGCAAGACTCCTACAGACTCAGTGTAAGCTGTCTGTCCGTACATTGTACGGGCAGACAGTCTCACACTGACAGGAAGAATCAATGAACTACCAGAGCGCTCAAAAGCACTGTAGTAGTTCATTGAGAACTACAAGCCGATAGCTGCAAAGGTTGTCAGTACTTGTAGTTTCTCATTTCACAGACCTCTGTGAATCTATGACACGACTGGGTGAGCAGAGCACCGCACTGTTGTTTTTTTTTAATTTTTTATTGTGACAGCAAGTGGGGGAGAAGATCCTCCGCTTGCTGTCACAATGGGGGGGGGGGGGGGGGGGGGGGTGCTGCAGGGGCTGTTGCTACAGTAACATGTCACATGTTACACCCTGAATATGGGTGTAATATGTTATAAAAGGTAAACATATCCTTTTAACCTTGTAACAGACCTTCAGCAGAGGGTGGGATCTGTCAACAAGCCTTGGTTTCTTTCATGGGGGTTTTGCTTCCCAAGTTGCATACAAGTCTATGGGAATGCAAAACCCACATGAAGCAGTTGGGGCAGACCTGAAAGGACAACTTGGTCTTTTTTCTGCTGTCTGGTTCTTTGTTAATGTTGTTTTGTTAAAAACAGCCTTATTTGCAATTTGTAGACATTAATTCATGTGATATGAGAGAGAGCCGCAGAAATAAACCAAGCCATATTGATAAGGATGAGGAACCAAAGATACCAATGCCTGTTATCTCCCTGTCAAAGATCAGAGCTGCCATGGATGTCACCTTTGTTTTTGGCCCTTGAATGATTGTTAGGAGACCAGTATGCATGTAGGAATTCTGTTTAATATGTTTATCATTTTGTTTTGATTTAGTTTTAGGGAAAGCAAGCAAATGCATGATCATTCCTGCACTTGTATACAAGCTTTACTAATTTACAGCTGCGTGCCTTTAAAATGTATTTGCATTTTTTATATTTGTGATAATTTAATCTATTTTCAGAGGCGAGAAACCTGCTCCCCTAAGCAAGACACAGCCTGCGGCGTCTTCTGCCTTACCACCTACTGGTGAGTTTCCATGTTTACTTCTGTCTGTACATGGCTGACACTGGGAGAACAGCGCCACCCGCTAATTAACACAGTTGTAGCTCTTTATGTCCTTTTAATATGTTTGAAGGGTCAGTGATAGATTTTCTGGCAATAGTATGGATTTTAATAAATTAATTTAAATAAAAGTGTATTGATATAATACTGGTATGTCTCCTTAACAGCTGGAGATGATGCCCCTTCTCCGCCCTCAGGACCTAAACCTGGTGCTACAGTACCTTTGCAACCTCCTGCTCCAATGCCTAGGAAATCTCAGCTGGTGAGTATATTTACTGTCCCAATATATAGCCTATAAAACACAAGCAGGTACTCATATTTTCTGTTGATAGGAGTGACAGTTACAATAATTTTCTCCTATGTATGTTTTGGTAGCTTTGCGAACCTATTTCAGGAGTATGGGCGATCTGTTTGGACAGATCCTTGAAAGGGGTCCTGAGGCAGAGGGCTCTGTTCTAGTTCCACTACAACAGCCCAGCACAGTCCACGTCTGACCCACAGAATCCACCTGCAGAGTCACTAGCATAAATAAAGTTTCTTATGCTGGGTACACACAGGCCACAAATCGTCCGAAAACGGTTGGTTCGGTAGGAATCTGATGACTTTTGACCCGCGTGTACCCCTGTTCGACAGAAGCAGGTCTCACGTTTGTTTTAGGTGTGTGTTTTACATGCATTTTAAGACCACTACCATGGAACTGTATAACACATAGGTTTAGATGAAAGCGCAGCATGCAGGACTTTTCTTAACACACGACACCCCATGTGTGAACAGGGCTTAAATCACACAGGAGAGACAATCTATTTGATTACAGCTGTCAGGTGATTTGGCTGTTGACGCTCACTGCCTCTGGGATAAAACAGTGTTTAGAGCAAGCAACGAAATACAGAAAAATAGCTATGATTAATGCAGTCCATAGACTGGTCGTTTATCAGCCGATTTTTCGTCCGCACGAAAAATCGGCCGATATTCACGCCGTTAGTTGTGCCCGCCCATCGGCCATTTTTCGTGGATTGCCTCATTTACTTTTCTTGGTCATGCTGGAAAATCCGCAAAAAACGCCCGTTTTTCGCGGACGATGGTGGCAGCATCGGTAACGGCGCCGACCGATTTTTCGTTTATCGGCCGACAATTCAGCTGATAAACGGCTTGTCTATGGCCTGCCTTAGTCTTTGTAAAGCAAAACGTATAGGAATGTTGCTGCTATTCTAGATTTTAATTAATAAAGAATGAATTGATTGAATTTGGTTCCCAGTCTTTGACATTTCTGTCCCCTTTATTGAAGTCATTGCTTCTGTTTTTTTACTGTTAAACAAATGGCCTTATTTAACACCTCCTATCCCTTTATGGCAAAGTTTTTATCCATTGTTGCCCACACTCCCAAGAGCTAACCGGTAAATGAAAATAAAGCAGACATTCACCATCTGTTGAAGGTTGCATATTGGTAAGCACTATGTGACCTGTGCAGACACATCTCGGTTGATTCATTTTAGGAGACAGATTGACTCCCCTACCCCAGGTTGGCTTTTCCAGCTAATCCTAGAGATTAGGGTATCATGCATGCTCAGCTGGGGAAGGAGGGGGGGGACATATTTATGCCCCTGTCCTTCAACAGCCAGATATTTCATCCACATTTCACATCTGTGGGCTACATCTTATAATTGATACCTGTGTAGTTCAGGGTTGGCAGCTCATTTTCCTTAGGTGTAATTACTAAACTCTGTAATGATAGCTCGGCCTAATTTACTTCACAACTAGGGCTTTTGGAGTGTCAGCTTCAAGGCTGTATGCCAGTTTTCCTAAGGGTTGTGATTCTAAAGGTTAAATTTTTTTAAAAAAAAATAACAAACATGTTATATGTACCTGCTTTGTGCAGAGAAACCCCGATCTTCTTTTTGGCAGTCCTGTGTCCCCAGTAGCAAGCCTTGCTAGAGAGAGACACCCAGGAAAACCATGGCTCTCATGCATATCGCTAGATTGAGATGGGGCTAGATGGGGGCTAAGGTAAGGTAAGTATAAGGGGGAAACTGAGGGGACAGCTGCACCCAGAAGGTTTTTTTTATCTCAATGCATAGAATGCATTAAGGAAAAAAAATCTGCCTTTAGAACCACTTTAAAGTCAAGATGCTTTTGATTAAAAAGGTGACATAAATGTTCTATCACTCTTACCTTTTTACTTTCACAAGCCAGAATCAAAGGCTTTAATGACTGTGTAAAATATATTCTGTTGACTTACAGGTAAAACCAAAGATAAAAAAAGGGAAAGCAGTATATAACTGCATGGCGGACAACCCAGATGAGCTGACCTTTGTAGAGGGGGAGATCATTGTGGTAGATGGAGAAGAGGACCAGGAGTGGTGGGTGAGTAAACTCCTCTGGGCTCAGAGTGGACATGTTAAAGTGACTCTTTAATGAAAGAAGCCTAGAGGCTGATTCCTTCCAAAAATGCTTGTTGCTTGGCCTTGTCTTGTGCCAATGCTTTTTGAATCACAGACCCAGAACATGCATGCTGCAGATGAGTGTCAGAATTCCGGAAGCAATCGATATCATTGTATCAGTCTGATAACCAGACAGTTACCATTGCCTGACAAAATGGTTAACAGTGGCTGAGTCCATGATTAACTTAAAGGCAGGGTTCTCAGCTAGTGGTTTTAAAATGAGCTCAATATGTTATATGGCTGCTGTAGCCTGAATAGTAAGATTTTCAGGCCCAAAATAATTGCTTTAAATATATATGTAATTCATGCTTACATTTTGCTTTGCACTTACTGAGCATATGATAAAATGCATAAGAAGAGGTCTCCTTCAGAGAACGGCACATGTCAAAATAATTTGTTCTAGAGATGCAGGCAGCTAAAATTGTATGCAAATCTCAATTGTTCCTGCAAGAGTTCAGCTTGGCCCAATCATCGTCTGCCCCAAAAGTACTATAATGTGATGAACCCGCTTGTTGACCAATAGGGATGCTTGGAAGGTGGCTCAAAGCTCAATTTTACAGATAAAATGTAGATTTGGTTATATTTTCAACTGCTTGTATCTCTGTATTATCTTGACATGTGGTTTCCACTGATTTTATTTTTCACCACATGGTCAGATTGGAATGGTCAAGTTTGTGACAGGCTTACTTTAACTGTGCCGAAAACCTCATCAACAGCTAACCTATTTTACCCTCCAGCCCCCACTGGGATGTTGAATTCCTATCGCCTGACGCCCGGCACAAGTAGTTCCGGGAGCTGTGCAGGCAGTTTTTTTTCTACCTTTAGATCTGCTGTGGGCAAGCAGCAGGGCTCATATGTCAGGTGAAAGCAATCAGCGATAGCGCTGCCGCCGATTGCTTCCACGTAGTGCCAGCTTCTCCGCCCCCTCGTGTGAACCTCCCCCCGCCCACTATCTCCCGGGCTGTGCTTGCCCATCTGTGGGCCCGGTTCACCGCCATCAGCTAGAGTGGAAGGAAGACAGCGGACATGTCCACTCCCCTTCTTGTCCTGACCCAGAAGTGACGGTGGGTGATGTCACTTCTAGGTCCCCGTTGAGAGATTCACTGAATGTAAAGCTGTGCAATGTGCACTGCTTTACATTCAGTGTAGTACAGGGGAGACATGCAGGGTCTTTTAGACCTTGGATATCTCAATAGAGAACTTGTCACCTGATATCATCACATTATAAAAAATGAAAGTTACACGTAAGCACATAACATCCCCCCAAAAAAATTAGCCCCCCCACACACATATACACACGTACAAACATAAAAGCACACGCTGGGGTGCCTATGCATGTAAATGTCGATTGCGATATACATGTCACATATCACCACGCAAGCCAGGATAAGAGCAATAATAGAAGGGGCTTTAAAAGCATCACCTATAGAAAATATAGGGTACTGAAAAGCGCACGCAAATTTAAGGTTTGGCATGTTGGATATCTATTTACTTGATGCGACATCGTCTTTTATATTTTTTTAAAAAATAGGGTAAATTAACTTACTTGTATTTTTACAGAAATGTTTCCGTAATATCATGTGACATAAAAAATTGGAACTATCACTTTTATTCTCTAGGGTCTCTGATTTCAGAAAATACAGTGAGGAACAGAAGTATTTGAACACCCTGCGATTTTGCAAGTTCTCCCACTTAGAAATCAATTCAGGAAATCACATTGTATGATTTTTAAAGAAGTTCTTGACTAGGTTTGCACACACTGCAACAGGGATTTTGGCCCACTCCTCCACACAGATATCCTCTAGATCTGTCAGGTTTCGGGGCTGTCGCTGAGCAACACAGAATTTCAGCTCCCTCCAAAGATGTTCTATTGGATTTAGGTCTGGAGACTGGCTAGGCCACTCCAGAACCTTGATATGCTTCTTACGGAGCCACTCCTTGGTTATCCTGGCTGTGTGCTTCGGGTCGTTGTCATGTTGGAAGACCCAGCCACGACCCATCTTCAGTGCTCTGACTGAGGGAAGGAGTTTGTTGCTCAAAATCTCACAATAAATGGTCCCATTCATCTCTCCTTAATACAGTGTAGTTGTCCTGTCCCCTTCGCAGAAAAGTAGCCCCAAAGCACGATGTTACCACCCCCATGCTTCACAGTAGGGATGGTGTTCTTGGGATGCAACTCATCCTTCTTTTTCCTCCAAACACGACGAGTGAAGTTTAGACCAAAAAGTTCTACTTTGGTCTCATCTGACCACATGACTTTCTCCCATGCCTCCTCTGGATCATCCAGATGGTCATTGGTAAACTTCAGACGGGCCTGGACATGTGATGACTTGAGCAGGGGAACCTTCCGTGCAATGTATGATTTTACACCATGACGGCGTAGTGTTCTACCGACGGTGTCCTTTGAAACTGTGGTCCCAGCTCTCTTCATGTCATTGACCAGCTCTTCCCTTGTAGTTCTGGGCTGATTCCTCACCTTTCTTATCATCAGTGATACCCCACGAGGTGAGATCTTGCATGGAGCCCCAATCCGAGGGAGACTGACAGTCGTCTTTAGCCTCTTCCATTTTCTAACAATTGCTCCAACAGTTGATCTATTTTCACCAAGCTGCTTGGCAATTGCCTTGTAGCCCTTTCCAGCCTTGTGGAGGTCCACAATTTTGTCTCTGGTGTCTTTTGACAGCTCTTTCGTCTTACCCATGGGTAG